GGGCCTCCCCGAACGACTTCCCTTGGGCTTAGCTATTTAGTTGATCTTAAAAGTGTCTTATACACTTTTCGCGAGTCTACTCTAGCGTTACTTCCTTTCAGACAGGGTACAGTGGGTTATCTGGAATAGGAGCAATAGGCGACTGCCCAGCTTGCCTTGGCGAAATCTGTCCGATCTTCTCTACCAAAGCTATTAGTATTTGTCGTTAGTCCTTGTAATTGCACTATTCGCTTTCAGGTAACCGAAGAAGACTGAAGACATCGTATTGTTTGCTTTTTATTGTATTTTTTTTGAAATTTCATGTGTTTTCTTGTCTTTCTCTTACAGGTATTTTGTTTTTTACTGCATAAACTGTTATATCTTTTTAATCATAACTTAGGTTGATATTTAAAATGTTTCTAAATTGATTTTTTGGCATAATTGATAATTAAATTAATTATTTGTTTACGCTTTCAAAATTATAGTTAGTTTGGGTGGATAGGGTGGCTATAAGGGGAGATGCGGAGGCCACAGAAGGTTAGGGGGGCTTTTTTCTCCCTAATCTTGCATTTAAATATGACAGTTTATGAAGAAAATATGATGCTTTTTATTATATTTGCATTGAAATTTTATTGATTTTATTGTCTTACAGGTATTTTATTTTTAACTTTAGTCGTTAAAGTCGTTAAAATGTAGCAATCTGCCTTCTACTCTTAACTCCCATGAAGCAACAGACCTTTAATTTTAAAATTGTAAAATTTAATTTATATATGTATTCATTTCTTACCCTTCTTGTCCAGGCCCTTCTGGTCCTTCAGCAACGGGCTCTTTGCTTGGATAAAACGTATTTGAAATGAAAATTCTTAATTTGCGTTTTTGTTTCATGGGACGTTTCAATGCTTCTTGAATATCAAGGCGTTTTCTCATTATTGTGGCATCCAATTTCCTCTCAAAAGCCAAGAGATCCATGTAAGCCTGGCTTTCAGGAACAAGGTCGCGTACTTTTTGAGGAAGTATTTTATCAGCAAGCTTTTTCTTCTTTTTGGTTGTACTATGAGTATAATCACTGAAATTATTCAATTATACTTGTTAATGATTACTGAAGAACTTTAGTACTCACTTTTTCTGTTGCTGCATGACATTTCGAGCATCAGCTGGTCTTTTCGTCCCTTGTTGGGACTGCAATGGTCCACCTCTCATGGGGGAGTATGGTTGCTGTGGTGGACGTTGCATCATTGTACCACCGCTTGTATTCAAACTAGGAGGGGGCGTGTAACCGCTCCTTTGTTGAACCTTCAAAATTTTGCAAAGTAATTTACGTTATAATAATAAAAATTCATAAAAACTAACCGGGAAATTCTGTGTGGGATATTGACGCATTCCTGGTTGCTGAGGGGAAGCGTATCTTTGCGGTGGAGGACCCGTGGGCCCTTGGGCTGGCACGTTTCCTGGAAAACGTTGAGCCATTTTCAATAAAACTAGAAAATTACGTGTTTTTTTTCATCTAGACACAAATAAAACCTAAAACAATCCCGGTTTATATGCTAAAATGACAAATGAATATATAAACTAACCTATAATTTGTGACAGTCGTCCATAGAATAGATAATAGACATAGAAATAGAAGATAAAGCAGGTTATCATAGATATAATTGTTCGCATTGCATAGAGTGTAATTAAGTCGGTACAATTTTTATTTGCATTTTGAGAAAAAAGAACGCTGAAACAAAAAGTATAGTGATTTAAAACGTTTGCCCTATTTAAAACATAAAGCAATACATATTTGTATTTATAACATACTACACATTTATCTACGGCTACGTATCTATGATGCTTGATATCTGTGGGTGTTACCACTAAAATCAACCCATTGTATATCTATTATCTATGAATCAACCAAAATGTCCGATCTATGATGGTCGTGAATGGTCGACTAACTGATCTTTGTTTCTTTGCTGTATTTAGTGAGAAATTATTTGAAAGTTGTTTTGGTAAAAATTTAATTTCATTAAATAGTCTAAGCTTTATCACTAAATATTTTTAATTGGTTTTTTCCACAACTTAAGTATTCTTTGTATTTCAATAAAACTTCTGCTTGTGTTCTACTTTATGTAGTTAATTCTTTCTTCCTTGTCCGTATTTACAGATTAAGCATTAAAGTTCAGTTGGATTGTACTGAAAAAACAAGTTTCTACAATGGTATCACCTTTCCTGGGCTATGTGGCTATATTCTTCATTTCCAACAAGTGAATGGAAACAAGTGGGGATTTATTTAAATTCTANTTCGCCAAGGCAAGCTGGGCAGTCGCCTATTGCTCCTATTCCAGATAACCCACTGTACCCTGTCTGAAAGGAAGTAACGCTAGAGTAGACTCGCGAAAAGTGTATAAGACACTTTTAAGATCAACTAAATAGCTAAGCCCAAGGGAAGTCGTTCGGGGAGGCCCTCCCTAATTCCACAAGGGTGAGAAGGAAGACACACGATAACGAAACATTGAATCATGTAGAACTCGTAGGGTAAATGCAAAGCAATTTAGTAAGAATATGCAGTAAGCTAAGCGAAGAGGTAAGCAAGAGACACGTTAGACTATACTACAACTACTAAAAAAAAACAATAAAGAAATATGTTAGTACAACAATTACTTAGAAATTAAAAACATCTGAAATCAAAAATTAATTCAAATAAAACAAACTAAAACAAGCACGCAAAATAAAAATTAATTAGAATAAACCACAAAAACATGCAAAATAAAAAATTAATTTGAATAAAACGAATTTAAAGAATTTATTCTATTAGGTAGAGCACACATGACAAAGAACCATTTTAACTATGGGTCCCATTTGTCTTCTCCACTGTCGATCTGAAACAGATAGGGTGGTAACAGTTTAATAAAGAGCCACTAAAATGATTTATATCAAGTATTCTCACCTTAATTAACTGTAGATTGTAATGTTCCAAAGCTTGCAGATGTGAAAAGCAAACCAAATTCATGAAGAAAACTATAGCAGAAAATTTATTGTTTTAGTAGAATTTAAATAAATCCCCACTTGTTTCCATTCACTTGTTGGAAATGAAGAATATAGCCACATAGCCCAGGAAAGGTGATACCATTGTAGAAACTTGTTTTTTCAGTACAATCCAACTGAACTTTAATGCTTAATCTGTAAATACGGACAAGGAAGAAAGAATTAACTACATAAAGTAGAACACAAGCAGAAGTTTTATTGAAATACAAAGAATACTTAAGTTGTGGAAAAAACCAATTAAAAATATTTAGTGATAAAGCTTAGACTATTTAATGAAATTAAATTTTTACCAAAACAACTTTCAAATAATTTCTCACTAAATACAGCAAAGAAACAAAGATCAGTTAGTCGACCATTCACGACCATCATAGATCGGACATTTTGGTTGATTCATAGATAATAGATATACAATGGGTTGATTTTAGTGGTAACACCCACAGATATCAAGCATCATAGATACGTAGCCGTAGATAAATGTGTAGTATGTTATAAATACAAATATGTATTGCTTTATGTTTTAAATAGGGCAAACGTTTTAAATCACTATACTTTTTGTTTCAGCGTTCTTTTTTCTCAAAATGCAAATAAAAATTGTACCGACTTAATTACACTCTATGCAATGCGAACAATTATATCTATGATAACCTGCTTTATCTTCTATTTCTATGTCTATTATCTATTCTATGGACGACTGTCACAAATTATAGGTTAGTTTATATATTCATTTGTCATTTTAGCATATAAACCGGGATTGTTTTAGGTTTTATTTGTGTCTAGATGAAAAAAAACACGTAATTTTCTAGTTTTATTGAAAATGGCTCAACGTTTTCCAGGAAACGTGCCAGCCCAAGGGCCCACGGGTCCTCCACCGCAAAGATACGCTTCCCCTCAGCAACCAGGAATGCGTCAATATCCCACACAGAATTTCCCGGTTAGTTTTTATGAATTTTTATTATTATAACGTAAATTACTTTGCAAAATTTTGAAGGTTCAACAAAGGAGCGGTTACACGCCCCCTCCTAGTTTGAATACAAGCGGTGGTACAATGATGCAACGTCCACCACAGCAACCATACTCCCCCATGAGAGGTGGACCATTGCAGTCCCAACAAGGGACGAAAAGACCAGCTGATGCTCGAAATGTCATGCAGCAACAGAAAAAGTGAGTACTAAAGTTCTTCAGTAATCATTAACAAGTATAATTGAATAATTTCAGTGATTATACTCATAGTACAACCAAAAAGAAGAAAAAGCTTGCTGATAAAATACTTCCTCAAAAAGTACGCGACCTTGTTCCTGAAAGCCAGGCTTACATGGATCTCTTGGCTTTTGAGAGGAAATTGGATGCCACAATAATGAGAAAACGCCTTGATATTCAAGAAGCATTGAAACGTCCCATGAAACAAAAACGCAAATTAAGAATTTTCATTTCAAATACGTTTTATCCAAGCAAAGAGCCCGTTGCTGAAGGACCAGAAGGGCCTGGACAAGAAGGGTAAGAAATGAATACATATATAAATTAAATTTTACAATTTTAAAATTAAAGGTCTGTTGCTTCATGGGAGTTAAGAGTAGAAGGCAGATTGCTAGATGACCAAAAAAATGACCCAAATAAGGTCAAGAGAAAGTTTTCATCATTTTTTAAATCTTTGGTAATTGAATTGGACAAGGAGTTGTATGGCCCAGACAATCATTTAGTTGAGTGGCACAGAACATTAACTACTCAAGAAACCGATGGTTTCCAGGTGACGTTTATATATTTCAAGTTTTGTAATTTACTTACTTCATTATCTTCAAACTCCTAGGTGAAACGTCCAGGGGATAAGAACGTCCGTTGTACCATCCTTCTTCTGCTTGATTATCAACCGTTGCAGTTTAAACTTGATCCGAGACTGGCCAGACTATTGGGAGTCCATACGCAGACTCGCCCTGTTATTATTTCGGCACTTTGGCAGTACATTAAGACACATAAGTAACTTCTTTTATGTATATTTGGTTATACAACCGAATTTTCTCACTGTAAAAGGATATATATTTTCTTTAAGAAAAAAAAATATTTACATATTTTTTGAAGATTATAAATATTCATTAAATTATTTTAGATTGCAAGACCCTCACGAACGTGAATACATAATTTGCGACAAATATTTAGAGCAAATATTCTCATTACCACGAATGAAGTTTGCTGACATTCCACAACGTCTGAATCCCCTCTTACACCCTCCAGACCCGATTGTTATCAATCACGTCATTTCCGTTGAAGGGGGCGCCGAAAGTAAACAAACTGCTTGCTATGATATTGACGTAGAGGTACAAAGTATTACAATATCTTTAAACCGATTGTAATGATAAAATCAAATGAATAGCTTTCTATTTGAGGCCAATTATTACAATTACAATTATTTAGTTTTCATTTAATTCCCTTTAATATAATAATACCTTTAAAGTGTAAAATAATTTATTTCAACAGGTCGATGACACACTGAAGACACAAATGAACAATTTTCTGCTTAGTACTGCAAGTCAACAGGAAATTCAGGGGTTAGACGCGAAAATCCACGAAACTGTGGACACTATAAACCAGCTGAAAACGAATCGCGAATTCTTTTTGAGTTTTGCCAAAGATCCGCAAAGTTTCATACACAAATGGATTGTTTCCCAAGCACGAGACTTAAAGGTGCATTATAAAAATATACTTTTCGGTATTAATATATACGAAATAATTAATTTTTTTGCAGACAATGACAGATGTGGTCGGTAACCCGGAAGAAGAACGTCGCGCAGACTTCTTTTATCAACCGTGGGCCCAAGAGGCCGTCTGTCGGTATTTTTACACGAAAGTCCAACAAAAACGTGCCGAACTCGAACAGGCCCTTGGAATACGAAACAATTAATTGCTCGTTCCTTAATTATAACGTTATTTAATGTTTTTTTTTAATAGTTTTCTTATAACACTGTAACGAATTCATAAAATAAAAAAAGCTTGTAATAAAATTAATTTGGTTACTCACGTTTCTAATTGGTTTTGTGTCACTACTCCGGTCTATCTTTTATTCTTTTTTTCTAAAAGAGAATAATTAAATAGTCAGAAGAATGCTACAAGAGAAATTGTACAAGATGGCTCACTCAATTTTATACTATACCGAGAATTCACGTCACATATCGTTCAGATTGCATAATGAATAAATGTAAAAAATAATTAATTCAAAGTAAGTAAGTGCTATAATAATATAATAAAGCCACCGTGTACAAATAAAGTTATATGAATTTAAAATCGCCTTTTCTTAAATAGAGTTATTTATTTATTTAAATAATTTCATTTAGTCATTAGCGCACATTTAAATACTATTAATACTTACTTATTGAGTTTGAATTATTATTCATGATGTACAATTACCATTTTCCTTTTTGCTAGCTAATTGTAAGACTAATTAAAAAATCTAAACGTACCGCAGCAATAAGTAAGTATTAATAAATTAATTTCATATTGCCTCAAAATACAAAAAAATATATGCATGTACATACTTCCATACAATATGTACAAATGCAACAATATCTTTGGTTTACAAATACAAATACGTCTCAAAAATATATAAATCATTACCTCTAAAAATATAATATTAATAATAATTAAACGTTTTATTATTTGTACGTTTCCTTTTCTAATATATTAAATACTACTCGACAATACTAAGACACAATAATATAAAAATGAATGTGAGGGATGATGGCACTTGTGGTAAAGTCTTTTATGTATTTACAAAACATTTACTCAATATCAGCACCTGGATATGTGATAATATCAACGAGTGAGTCACGTTACAAATATTGCAACTAAACGAAGGGAAAACATACATACTCCAAAAAAATAAAACAAAAAAATGTAAGACAACCATGAAAAACACAAACAAGAAAAAGACAAAAAAATGATAAAGGAACTTATTTCATATCTCATAATGTCTCAAAGTTATTTATATAGGTAAAATTCAAAGTTAAGAATATTACAAAAGAATTTAAAAATAATTATAATTTAAGTGAATTAAAGAGTGCATTTCAACTTTCGTTAAATAAAAACATAAAAAGGCCATGACTGGATAAACATGGATAAACTATCCCTGAAGTTTAGATCTTATAATATTTGTGGTCTACGATCATAGGAACAGATTACCCACGATCTTTAACGTTGCATCTAATAGGCATTCCCTTAATTAAATTAGTTTTTATTGCTCCACCGCTTAACTTTTATTATCAATGAGACAATTTTATTATCAATGTTGTAAGAAATGAAAATCAATCCACAAAAAGAAAAAACACGACAATTTTGATGAAATATAAAAGTAACGAATGAAACTCTTACATTTTTTTATCTTGCTATGTGATGGTCTTGGTTTTGGGAGGTTTCGGGGGCGGCGTCGGGGGTGGACCGTCATCGATAGGATCAGGTGAAAGGATTGTATGGTTCATGACCGTTCTCAACGAGTTACGATAGTTATATAAAAAACTAATGTTTTCGGAAGCAGAGCTATTGTAATTATTATTGTTGATGTTGTTGTTGTTGGAAATATTATAATAATCCACCTCTTTAACTTTAGCCGGCAGCGGTGGTGGAACGGGGTCTTCTTCGCTCACGCTAGAATCTGTTGTTCCTGCAAAAAAAAACAAAATAATATACTTCTTTAATTAATAAAATATTACTATTTGTAGTTTAACAAATAACACAATTACTAACAGCGAACGTTGCACCTATCTAAAGTGAACACATCTCTCCAGCTAACATGACTGGGGAAGTAAATTATTTTAATTATTCCCCTTTTGGTTATTACAGAATATTAGTTCTTCCCCCCTATCAGTCACTGTGAGCACGAAATTGATAGCACCATTGCTTCGAGTGGTCGAATAATCGCTTTCTTTGTGTTAAAAATTGTTTGGAAAAAAGGGAATTGTTTGTAAATAGGTATGCAACACATCGTACACTTCGCATAAGAAATTGCCGATACTAACTATGTAATACTACTTTGCCCTGTGCTGACAGCACTCATAATTTCTTTTGTATATATTATTAATCTTTTACATGCTCAAAAAATATCCAACTTTTGCTTACCAATAGAATCTCTGTTGCTGCTATTACCAGAACTGCTACAAGTCGTCAACGTTATTGTCAAGCTGGATGGACGTGAAAACTGACCGCTCGTTGGTCTACTCAACCGTTTCTCTCTTTCAACTTCCGATCTCAAAGGTCTCTTTGGAGTCAGCTAATAAAAGGAAATAAATGTTAAAAAGTTTGCATTACAAGGGTTTAAAAGCAGAATTCTGTAGTGGATTCCTATAGATACCTCTTTTGTATTTATCAAAATCGAAATTATGATTTCTTATTTGCAATATGCCTATAGAACGCTAAAAACTACACCTACCTCCTGTCTCAGTTCGACTAGCGGTACCACAGTACCATTTTGGGTTGCATTCTCATCTTCGACAGTGTACCATTGTGTGTTAGAGTACGTCTTCTCCGAGTGGTCCGACTTGCTCGATCTACGTTTCTCCTTCGGCGTTTTCGATCTGCTAATTTTATGGGTTAATGACGGTGTGTTGGTTAAGCTTTTGGAGGGCGACAGCAAACTTTTAGCACTTGCTAGATGGTTCTGATACTTTCTGAAATGCATATGTACAAAAAAATGATGCTAACAAGATAATGTACACCACTTAAGTTTTGTTAATAACGAAAATCAACGAACGAAAATCAACGATCGAAAAACGAAACAGGAACAAAAAGCTTTCTAAATCGACAACACAGTATGGGAACTAGGAAGAAGCAAATGTAATAAGCAACCGCATGCAAGCATAAATATACAATTTGTAGAACAGAGTACAGATAAAAAAAATAGGGAAAAGTTCTGGGTGCCTCAATAAATGAATTTCTAAATTATTTTTTAATGAAAGCTTTTCTTTAAAATAAATACTATAGTACAGAAGATACATACGCTGATATTTTACAGAAACTGTAGTTCATAAACCTGCTGTATTTTTCTATGTATCAATTTTGGTGTCAAAGTTCTAATTAATAAAAAAATTAGATTATTTGGCAAACATCGAATTTCAAAATATCCACTGTACCTTATAATGTAGAATAAAATATCCCAAAACTATTCCCTAAAACCACTCTTACATGGGCACTAACACACTGGCGAGAGCATACCTTTTTGATAGATTAATGCTATGCAAAGCAACGTTGCTATCTCTATGTAAAGCAAATGATTTAAATAATCTTTGAATAATTGATAACATTTAATTATTAGATTATAATTTTCAAAATAAAGGATTAAAATACAAGGTGATTGTCTCTTCTTTGCATTATTATTACGATTGTGGAAATTGTGATCATAATAATTCAGAAAGTTTTTGTGCAATATTCTGAAAACAAATTTTTAATAATCGTACAGGATGGAGAAATTGATATAAATTGAGATATAAAACAAATATTAACAATTAACAAAAAGAGATCATTTTCTATGCTAGGAGCGGTTAATTTAATAATTTGAAAAAATATTGCCAAGAAACGGATAACCATAGATTAGTTATTATTATTTATTTAGTCTAAAAACAATCACCCCGTATTATAATTTGATCAAAAGTAACACTCCTATACATATACTACAGTTTAAATTAGTAAAAAAAGAAAAAGTAGTGTATATACATTTTGTAACTGTATTCTTTAGTAATAAGAAAATGAGAATAGAAAAACATTTTGGAGTTTAGAATATTCTTTTTTTGCTAGACGAACACAAACAACACTACTGAGAAAAGAAAATGAAAAACTATTTCTATTATAAAGTTAGTTAGTTAAATATTTACNTTAGCATAACACTGTATAAAAAATCTATATTTAATATAATTACTGTTGTTTGACTTAGGAAAAAAGCCCAAGTGATTGACTTTCAATTACGAACGGAACTAGTTTCAAAAGTAATTTTTGTTTTTATGTAATTTTAAGTTTCTCACCTTTTTTCCATATTTTTTGACGACACTTTCTTGCATTTTTGCGAAGCATTCTTCGAGATGTCTCTGAAAGGGTTGCAACGAACTCGGAGCCCTATCTCTGTGCACTTGGATACCGAGTTCTAAGAGAGGTATCTGATCTGCTATAAGGTCTTTTAGTCTTTGAATGAGGAAACAGTCATTGGGATGCGAGAGAGCGTATTCAGGGGTGAAAAAGGCCATTTCATAATTCATCACACCTCCCATTACAGCAGGATCAACAATTCCTAAAAACATATTTTATTTCAAGCAAAAACCATAAATTTTACAGATTTTTAAATAAAATTATTCCTTACCGTTTAACTTCATGCCCAAATTGTTAATGGGGGCCACTTTGTCTCGACTGTAGAGCGTTATTAGAGTCCTCAGCTCCTTGTTCTTTTCCTCCATCGTTTCGATAGCGTGACACAACGGGGACATTTCGTAAGTATTGGAAGACTTGACAGGGAACCACCTGAGGATACCGGGCAGAGGATATGTGGTGACCAAAACGGTCCTTTCGATCCACAAATTAGCAAATTCGTTATTGCTTTCGTTACCGGGATCTTTCCTGGTTAATGGGCGGGAATAACGGAACTTTTGCACGTTATTAACCCTGTAATACTTTATAATTTGATCTGCGACGGGTTTCCCTGAAAACCGCTGCCTCTTCTCGTCCATTACGGGATCCACTTTGTTTATTTGAATGTCTATTAATATTAGTGTTAAAAATTGTTTGGAAAAAAGGGAATTGTTTGTAAATAGGTATGCAACACATCGTACACTTCGCATAAGAAATTGCCGATACTAACTATGTAATACTACTTTGCCCTGTGCTGACAGCACTCATAATTTCTTTTGTATATATTATTAATCTTTTACATGCTCAAAAAATATCCAACTTTTGCTTACCAATAGAATCTCTGTTGCTGCTATTACCAGAACTGCTACAAGTCGTCAACGTTATTGTCAAGCTGGATGGACGTGAAAACTGACCGCTCGTTGGTCTACTCAACCGTTTCTCTCTTTCAACTTCCGATCTCAAAGGTCTCTTTGGAGTCAGCTAATAAAAGGAAATAAATGTTAAAAAGTTTGCATTACAAGGGTTTAAAAGCAGAATTCTGTAGTGGATTCCTATAGATACCTCTTTTGTATTTATCAAAATCGAAATTATGATTTCTTATTTGCAATATGCCTATAGAACGCTAAAAACTACACCTACCTCCTGTCTCAGTTCGACTAGCGGTACCACAGTACCATTTTGGGTTGCATTCTCATCTTCGACAGTGTACCATTGTGTGTTAGAGTACGTCTTCTCCGAGTGGTCCGACTTGCTCGATCTACGTTTCTCCTTCGGCGTTTTCGATCTGCTAATTTTATGGGTTAATGACGGTGTGTTGGTTAAGCTTTTGGAGGGCGACAGCAAACTTTTAGCACTTGCTAGATGGTTCTGATACTTTCTGAAATGCATATGTACAAAAAAATGATGCTAACAAGATAATGTACACCACTTAAGTTTTGTTAATAACGAAAATCAACGAACGAAAATCAACGATCGAAAAACGAAACAGGAACAAAAAGCTTTCTAAATCGACAACACAGTATGGGAACTAGGAAGAAGCAAATGTAATAAGCAACCACATGCAAGCATAAATATACAATTTGTAGAACAGAGTACAGATAAAAAAAATAGGGAAAAGTTCTGGGTGCCTCAATAAATGAATTTCTAAATTATTTTTTAATGAAAGCTTTTCTTTAAAATAAATACTATAGTACAGAAGATACATACGCTGATATTTTACAGAAACTGTAGTTCATAAACCTGCTGTATTTTTCTATGTATCAATTTTGGTGTCAAAGTTCTAATTAATAAAAAAATTAGATTATTTGGCAAACATCGAATTTCAAAATATCCACTGTACCTTATAATGTAGAATAAAATATCCCAAAACTATTCCCTAAAACCACTCTTACATGGGCACTAACACACTGGCGAGNCCCCGGCCGTAATAAGCCACTCTAAAATATTCCGATTCCGCCCTCACATTCCTCATAATGTCTTCGTAAAACGAAGCCATGCGTTTGTGCAATTCTGCCAGTTGTTCGTAATCGAACGTTTCGTCTTCGTATTGTTTTGCAAGCTCCTGACACTTCTGAATAGCGCACTCCCACATCTGCACAAAACAAAGATTTATTTTAAAGTAACAATTTTCTTTGTTTCTTTGAATTTTAATATACAAGCTGATTTACCTTTCCCTTGTCGAAATAATTGATAATTTCGTAGTAGATAGCTTCCTTCAGTTGCCTGTGTGTTTGCGACTCCAAATATCTGTTACTCTTTAGAAGTGGTGGCAAAATTTCATCAGACCAATTCAATAAATTACTATGCAATTCTAAAGTATAAGCAGCTTCTGTAAAATTGTCACATTCCAGGTGCAGATCGCACAATTTATTCACATACCGGATGTACATCTCTTTTCGGTTTATTTCCGAATAGAAATCCTTAAAAAAATCAACCCTTATTACATATATGACCTAACTTCTAAATAATCGCCCTTACCAGTAGATTAACCGTACAGCTCATCCTGTTTTCTTTATTTTCGTCGTTAATAATGCACCTGTACTCTAGAAGTCTCTCCATCAACATGGTGACCATCTTCACGAACTTAATCCCATCGTCTTTCAGGGTCTTGTGCTGGCTACACAAACTCATCATAATATCGTGGAAAAGATCTTTGAACTGTTCATCACCGCGACCCCCTTCGACCAAGGTGTCAAGTTTCGCGACCATTTCATTTTCGAAATCCAAAAAGTTCCCTTTAACGTGCGAAGAATCCCGTTTTGTATCCCCAAAACTTTCGAATTCAAAGCGAGACGAATAGAACTCCGTTTGCATCATGTCGAAAAAAATTGGGATCGTGACTTTGCGCAATTCTGGTTCCGGAATCAGCGCCATTTCCAAAACTGAACCGACCAAACTAGGTACGAACTGAATTTTATACTGACCTAAAGGTGAACAGGAATGTAGAAAAAAGAAACTGAAATTACATTATACTCGAAATGTGATACATACCTATTAATAAATGATTAATGAAACCAAGGAAAAATAATTTCTATTTCAAATGTTTTCAAAACAATAACATATGATAGGTACATTTCAAGGCATCTAACACTATTGTTACTGTTAATTTATTAAAAAAATTATATATACATGATAACTTCATACATAATTAAACGTGATACAAATGAATTTATTTTACAAAAAAACAAGTTCTTCCCCCCTATTTGTGAGCTTGAAACTGTTAGCACAATTGCTTGAAGTGGTCGAAATTCACTTTTGTGAACAATTTGTTTAATCAGTTTCTTTGTGTTAAAAATTGTTTGAATAATTAAATATCAAGGAATTGTTTGTAAATAGGTATGCAACACACCGTACACTTCAGCATAAGAAATTGCTGACACTAAAACTTTCATTCACGTGATACTACTTTGCCTTGTGCTGACAGCATTTTCTTTATTTATAATTTTAGAACCAAACATTAGGCCCTTGCGATGGGCTAAAATTTTTATTTTAAAAATCAAAGTATTTCCTACTCAATTATTATAATCGAAAAACGCAAGTGCAAAAATAAGCACATAGAAAATGTACTCACCAAGATTAAACCACATGGACCTGATTTCAGCGCCCATCTCCCTCCGCATATCTTTGTACCGTTTTATCATGCGTACCCTTTTGTTGGTCGAAAATGTTTCCAATTGCAATGCTGGCTGAGTCATGAATGCGATAGCACAATGAAAAAAGTTACTCCAGGCTTGGTTATCAAATTTATGGAAGAAACAAGCGTGGATGGTATGAGAGAAGAATCGCAGTGATTTAAGTATGACAAAGTTCTGGAGCATGATCATGTCGCACCAGTCCTGAGGGAAGACAGACTTATTCACCAGTTCTTTAAACACTAACAGGATTTCCATCAAAAAGTCTAGGATATCGGTACGAGTTCCAAACAGACTGATATAGTTTTCGTAATGTTTTTCGGTCATTTTGCGAAATATATCGATCATTATTGCAACCAAATTACCCTGCATGTAAAATAGATAAAACAACTAAAAAAAAGTCTTAAGATATAAGGTACTTACCGCATATGGGCTTTCTTTGTTCATGTTGATATGACTCTGTATAATTGTACGTAACATTGTAGTTATTATTTCGTTCACATCGTAAGCTGTGTCACCCACGTCCCCCCGATAAAGTAGATCCAGAACATCGCTTAAAATTTTGATGCATAACTCCACCTGAACATTGGTATAAGTGAAATTTATTTTTCAGAGTTACAGACAGCAAACATTTTATTGTTTTCCAAAATCGTTGTAAGTTCTTTTAAATTTCGTCAGCAATAGCATATTTTTTTAGTAAGAAAATATAAATTTAAAATACAGGAAATAAAAAAAAATACAAAAACAAAACGAAATATTGTTTTAATTGGTATTTTTTATATTTAATTTTAATGTCTTTAAATGTGCTTATACTAATTGTGAATTGTTATACTTCGGATGGATATGGTCCAGGATTGGTTCTCCTAAGACTACACACACACACAACCGCTACGTTCCCTGAGGATGCCACAACAGCTGGCGAAAAGGCGGATAAATGACTCAATGGGTGAACTCACTGAGGAGAACCAATTATAGACTATATTTTAAATCCCGAAAGAGTGGTAACAATTTTGGAAAACATACGTTATTATCCAGCAAAAACTCGATAAAAACCAAACCAAAAAACAAAAGTAAATAATACAAACTGCAAACTGCTACGGTTGTTTGATTGCACATTATATTAATGACAATGTGAGATGTACTGTTATGTATGATTGTGTTCGTATTTGTGTATGATAAGATGGAAAATCACCTCTTCAGAGTATCCCCGGTGCTGGTTGAGACAATGTTGGGTAGCTCCCAAGACACGAGCCACCTTGGCCACCGAACGGTACTGTCTCCGACCTTCCTGACGCATCGTCGCAATACCCTACAACGCCCGCCACACAACAACTACTACTTTGTTAGAACAACAACAACTAATGTACAAAATAAGAAATACTATCTACCAATAGCGTTAGAAAACGACTATTTTTAGTAATAAGCAGTTTCTGACACCAAATCATTAATAAATTAAAAAAAAGTATTGGAAGATTATGTTTCTTTAAAATAATTCTTGTTTTGTATAATAAAATAAATTAATAAGTTCAAAACTGCTTGATAATAACTTTACCACCTATAAGCATTTAAGAGAGAGCTACCAACAGTAGCAACCAAAAAACTGCACCTATGTATTCTACAAATACAATTAAAAAGACTAAATTTGCTTACAGTAGCAATTAATCTAGTAATTCAAAAATTATTATTTGTTGCAATAACGGTTGGTAAAATAGGTAAATATTTAAAAAAATGTTTATAATAAATAAGTAAACCTACAAGTTTCAACTGAAAAAATATTTACTGAAACACCTGCCAACAGACCGTTATCAAAGAGTGTATAATTATAATTGTAGTTAAATGTACATTTAATTATTTACGGCCTTTTTGATAATTGTCCCTTGGTTGAAGTAACAACTGTTAAGCATTCTTAACAAATTTTTGAGTTGAATCTTCTACGTTTATTTATTATAAATATCATCATAATTGCACCATCGATAGTTACAAAACTCGCATGTTTGCCACCCCCGTCTTCAGCTCGGGTAGCAAACGACACGCGGCGTGATAAAGCCAATTTCGCCAACTATTTATAAAACCTTGAAAAAATAAAGTTATAGTTACATCAGTTACAATACATTTGACTATATGAAGTAACTTCTTAGTGTTACCAAACAACCACCTCAAACTAAGAAACACAAAATATAAAATTTAACAAAAGCTGTAAGTTTTTAATATAAATAGCAAAGAATTAGANCTATTCTTGATGTATAAGTCAAGAACTGGTTCAAAGTGTTGATATTTCCAATCATTGCTTACTAAACCAATTATGAACAATAGACATTCAAAGACCATGGCATCATACTCTTTACTGTCTGGATTATCCATCAATATGTTAAACAGAGCGTCCAGGACGTCTTGTAAAAATTTGACCACTTCTTCACCGTCCACATACATTAAAGCTGATAAGGATTCTGCCAAGGTATCCTTGTGATTAGCCCAGTTTAACAAACCGAGCAAATTGACTACAAAACAAAAAACAAATAAGGAACTTGACCACAAAAAAAATTAGCAAATCATCGATTATTTTCTTAGTTTTAGCACACATATGAAATTTTTTATTTATTTTTATGGAGTTATTCACATACCATTTTGGGTCAACTTTGTAGAACAAATATTACTACCAATAACAAAACTGTCTTTGGCACTGACACTAAGCCCTGGTACTTGAGGTTTCGCCCCGTTTTCCAACTCATCCACGGTTGATGGTAATTTAAAATACTCGGTACCATTCTCAACAAACTTTTTGTGATCAATCTTGTAAACAATCAAATTATGTTTCTGGTCTTTTAGCGTCGTCCCGTTTTCTTGCATGAGTCTAACGTACGATAATCCAAACGGCTTTTCGCACTTGTCTTTCGCCTCGTTAGATGACCGATGTTTGAACATGAACTTGAGATGACTGCTTCGGAATTCTTCGATCGGAATCGAAACCTTGAATGTCTCATACCATTGCGGTTTGTCTTCGTGATAGTAAACGACAGATTTGTAGTCGTTCAGAAGCGGAATTCCGCTACCGGCAGATATAACACCCGGTATGCATTCGCCATTCTCATTACAAACTGTTACAGTGACTTCTACATTTTTATCGCTCGCTTTGTTATATTTACTGAATTCTCCGTTTATCAGAGTGAGATAAAGATCATCTACAAATATCTGATAATTCGTGTAATTAAGGAAAAATTATTTGTATGTACATTGTATTAATGTATGTATACAAAACCTGATGATATCAGACATGTTCGGTGGCCAAGATAACAATTGTGTACGAAAAAGATAAGCAATGAAATGATAAACTTGTGCACAGAATAAAAAAAACTCAAAGCCAAACAAAGCCTGATATAATACTTTTAATTGCAAACAATCGCGATAAAAATTATTCTAATAAGTCAAAATATCATTCGCAAAGAAGAAAATACTAATAAATATAAACAAAAACACACCGTGCAAGATTTTAGAAACAATATTACTTGTTTTGTACAATTCTTAATAAATTTGGTGTCACGAAGTTGACGTCGCATTGTCACCTGATGGTGCAATTTCAAGTCACACGTCTGTCAGAAAAATTAAAAAAAAAATGCAAAACACTGTATAAAAAATCTATATTTAATATAATTACTGTTGTTTGACTTAGGAAAAAAGCCCAAGTGATTGACTTTCAATTACGAACGGAACTAGTTTCAAAAGTAATTTTTGTTTTTATGTAATTTTAAGTTTCTCACCTTTTTTCCATATTTTTTGACGACACTTTCTTGCATTTTTGCGAAGCATTCTTCGAGATGTCTCTGAAAGGGTTGCAACGAACTCGGAGCCCTATCTCTGTGCACTTGGATACCGAGTTCTAAGAGAGGTATCTGATCTGCTATAAGGTCTTTTAGTCTTTGAATGAGGAAACAGTCATTGGGATGCGAGAGAGCGTATTCAGGGGTGAAAAAGGCCATTTCATAATTCATCACACCTCCCATTACAGCAGGATCAACAATTCCTAAAAACATATTTTATTTCAAGCAAAAACCATAAATTTTACAGATTTTTAAATAAAATTATTCCTTACCGTTTAACTTCATGCCCAAATTGTTAATGGGGGCCACTTTGTCTCGACTGTAAAGCGTTATTAGAGTCCTCAGCTCCTTGTTCTTTTCCTCCATCGTTTCGATAGCGTGACACAACGGGGACATTTCGTAAGTATTGGAAGACTTGACAGGGAACCACCTGAGGATACCGGGCAGAGGATATGTGGTGACCAAAACGGTCCTTTCGATCCACAAATTAGCAAATTCGTTATTGCTTTCGTTACCGGGATCTTTCCTGGTTAATGGGCGGGAATAACGGAACTTTTGCACGTTATTAACCCTGTAATACTTTATAATTTGATCTGCGACGGGTTTCCCTGAAAACCGCTGCCTCTTCTCGTCCATTACGGGATCCACTTTGTTTATTTGAATGTCTATTAATATTATTAATCTCTCCAGCTAACATG